CTGGGATTACAGGCATGCGCCACCACCCCGGCTAATTTTGTATTTTTAGTAGAGACGGGGTTTCTCCATGTTGGTCAGGCTGGTCTTGAACTCCCGACCTCAGGTGATCCACCTGCCTCGGCCTCCCAAAGTGCTGGGATGACAGGCGTGAGCCACCGCGCCCGGCGATTCCCTTTTCTTAACTCCCGTAGTCTTTTTAGAAAATAAAAGTTGACCAGGAAGTGTGCCTCACACCTATAATCCCATCACTTTGGGAGACTGAGATGGGCGGATCACTTGAGCTCAGAGTTCAAGACCAGCCTGGCCAACATGGTGAACCAGCCTGGTTGCGCGCACCACCACACCCGGCTAATTTTTTGTATTTTTAGTAGAGATGGGGTTTCATGGTGTTAGCCAGGATGGTCTCGATCTTCTGACCTTGTGATCTGCCTGCCTTGGCCTCCCAAAGTGCTGGGATTATAGGCATGAGCCACTGCAGCCAGCCATATTTTTTGTTTTTTAATTTCATTTTTATAGGAATGGGAGTCTCACATGTTGCCCAGGCTGGTCCTGAACTCCTGGACTCAAGCCATCCTCCCACCTTGGCGTCGCAAAGCTCTGGGCTTACAGGTGTGAGCCACTGCTCCTGGTCCAGTCTTCTTCTGGAAGAGACCCAGAATCATGCTGAAACTCGTGATGAAAGTAATCAAATTTATGACACCAGAAATTTGGAATCTAGTGATGTTATGAATAAGCCAGATAAATTGGAATTTATATTCAGAATATTGAGACTTGACCAGTGTGGGTCGGGTGCAGTAGCTTACACCTGTAATCCCAACACTTTGGGAGACAGAGGTGTGTAAATTGCTTGAGTCCAGGAGTTCAAGACCAGCCTGGGCAATGTGGCAAAACTCTGCCTCTACAAAAAATACTAAAAATTAGCTGGGTTTGGTGGTGTACACCTGTGGTCCCAGCTATTCAGGAGGCCGAGATGGGAGGATCACCTGAGCTTGGGAGGTGGAGATTGCAGTGAGCTGAGATTGCGCCACTGCACTCCAGCCTGGGTGACAGAATGAGACCCTACCTCAGAAAAAAAAAAAAAAAAAAGAAAGAAAGAAAGAAAGAAAGAAAAGAAAAGAAAGAAAAAAAAAGAAAGTTGATCAGTTTCAAAAGCCTGCTTAAGAAGTGAAGTTCTGCAGTTTTGCTCTTACTGTGGTCAATGTTGGCAGACCTTTGCACCTGGATTTTTTCTGATGATGGCTACATCAACCTTCACCAATTACTAGGGATGGAGTATTACTCTGAGAAACTAAAGACTCCCTCCTAATGCAAGGGTGGCAAACACTGCCTACCTCTTTCATCTCTGAACAGGGTGAGAAGTTAGTGTGAAAAGAATCAGAAGCAGGCCTAGAGAGAAAGTGCTGGCACCAATTACTGTACAAAGATGAGTCAGGCCAGGTGTGGTGGCTTGTGCCTGTAATCACAGCTATTTGGGAGGCCAAGGAGGGAGGATCACTTAAGAACAGGAGTTTGAGACCAGCCTGGGCAACATAGAGACCTCGTCTCTAAAAAAAAAAATTTTGTAATTAGCTGGGCATGGAGGCACATGACTGTGGTCCCAGCTACTTGGGAGGCTGAGATGGGAGGATCACTTGAGTCCAGGAGGTCAAGGCTGCAGTGGGCTATGATTGTGCCACTGCACTCCAGCCTGAGTGACAGAGCGAGACCCTGTCTCTAAAAATAAAATCAAATGGAGCTAAAAAGACAGAAAACGATGAGTGAGACTGGCTCAGGCTCTGAAGATTCATTGGGAGCAGAGTTGTCTGAGTGTCCAAGAGAATTTCTCACTTGTTGCTTTTTTTTTTTTTTTTTTT